TTCATAATGACATACCACAGCTTCTTTGTGTCTATGGTCTGCATGGGTAGAAGATATTCTCTATTTGCTGTTTAGCTCAGGCTACAATTACTTGTATTTTGATTTCCTTAAGACAACGTGACAAGCTGCTGCCTATTGGGGACTGTGGCATTCCTCAGGCCAGGCTACAAGTGGCTGTGACGAATATTGGAAGTTGACACTACCTCACAACTCAGGCTCATTTTCAATCTGTCTGCACAGAAATACCTTAAGAACGTGCAACCATCCCTGCCTTGATTCACAGCCCCACCTCTTGCAGCTGCAGCCCTGACACACACCCTCTACACACCTGAGGCTTGCTCACCTCTTTTCCCCTTCCAACTTTGCCTGACTCCTCCAAGCAAACTGCCACTTGCCATGCTGACAACATCCTTCCCTTCGCTGTGGATGGGCACCTCCTCAGCTCCCTTTGCTTCAGGCCAGTCTCAGTTGCAGCCTTATTATATCCACCTTCACCGCAAGTTCAGTCCAAGCTTCATTGCTAGGCCTGACTGGTTATAACAACCCCAAACATGCATTTACCAGCTGAGGAGCCAAGAGGTATTAACCCCTGCTTCACCAGCAGTGATCAGTACCGTGTGCTCCCATGCAACACGATGCAGTCACACAGCAGCATCCAGCAATCCCCTCTGCACTGTGAGTGTCTTCCACACACCGCCCAGAGAACAGCCCAGCTAGCAGGCAGGCATGGCACTGTTTCAAGGTACTTGAAAATGAACACCAATAAATAAAAGTGAAGAAAATTAGAAGTACATCTACAGGTGACAACCCTTGTCCATCACCAGGAAAGTCAATACAAGTGAAGATTCTGGCTCCAGAATCCAAATATTGTCACATTGAGTAAGAAGATTTGTTTCAGAAGAGGCTCAGTGTCTGAAACCCTTACTGACGTCACCAGTGTCTCTGGGTAAAACACAAAAATAATTACTAGTAACAGTGACATTCTAAGTAGAGATTGTTAACATTAACACAATGGCTATGTTGACTATGTAAATATAAGAACCTTTATGAGCTATGAATGCTGCCTCTCTTCCAGCTGAAGAAAAGACAGACACACATGTGGTTTTGATGCCTGCATTATTTTTTGAGAACCCTCTGTCCAAAAGAAACAAAGACTTTGCAGGTGTAGTCAACCCTGCAGCTGCCCAGTACAGGGAATTTCTTATGGATCTCAAAATGAAAATAAGGCAATCTAAGGTGCTAGAATAGACCAGAAATGAACACCCTGTGGCAGCCCTTTCTGAAACTTTTGCCATCTGGAGTGGCAAAGGCCAGGAATCTCTTTTCTTCTTATGGAGAAGTGGAGCAATGCCTCTGGAAGGCTTTCTTCTCCTTAAGATGCAGAAGCATGGATCTTTCTCTTTTTATTGGGAAGGCAGTCTTCGCTGAAGATGGACCCACCTCAAATCTTAAGCAACCAGGAAATTTCTGCCTGCAAGGACTGTCCTTCTCTCACACAATCTTCTGCAAGAATTATGTTGGTGCACTAACTGCTGTAAAACAAGTTTTGGCTTTATACTTAGAGACCTGAAATAGGAAACATGACCTTGCGTTGACTTGAGTGTACTAAACTTTCCTACTTTCAAACCCATTTTTCACTATTTTCACATGTCTGCGGAAAAAAGAAGACAGTCTGTAAACATCTTTTTCATCATCTAGATCATACGGATTGTAAAACTGAGTCTGAAGACCACTTACATCTGATGGTTCTGCTCTCTTACGCATACGGCTTCCTCTGGTTAACTGCACATTTTCCTGAACTTAAGAGGTAAGATTAAAAAAAAAAAATCATCACTGTTAATTATGTATGAGGTCCTGGAAACAGCAGCAGAAGTTAAAATGCCGAAACAGAAAACAAAGTAAAAAAAAAGATTCACAAATTTTACACCTTACAGGAGTCTGGATTCAATAGAAGTTTATACTTTTGTTTTCTTCCTCTAGAGTTAAAAAAGCAATTAACATTTTTACATACATAATTTAAAAAAATAGTGTTTTATGATTGACATGTTTTCAGTCAATTTTCTAAATCGCTTTAGCAAAATCAAATACAATTTCTACAGTTACAGCAGTTCAACATTTATATGAAGATACTTATATAGTAATGTTCATAAGTTACACTCGCCACTTCCTGGAATGGCCCCCTTTCATCACATAATTGATGTAAGTGTCATTTGTGAAGTGTGTTGTACTCAAACGCATACCTGTTTTAGGATTTTTGCCAAATCCTTCTAAGGGGCTTTTACAGGGATGTATCAGGGGTTTAGATCTATGGCATTTTCTTCACAGGAATGCAGATGCAGTTTCTCATTGGAAAGATAGCCGCATTTCCAAATTAGCCCAGTCGACGATAGCCCAACGAGAGGCAACATGATCTATACCACACAATTTGTGTTACATAAATCCTAATGTGGTGCTAAAACAACAGTGAAAAAATGTTTGGCTAGAGGCAAAAATTCAGCTCGCTTTCCTTCTGCTTCTCTGACTTAATGAAGAGACACACACTTAACTAATTGCTTTGACAGGCCAGCAGGCTGCCTTTGCTTAATAACACCATTAGGAATTCCACAAGGTTTCAGCTTCTAATATTAAGGATCTTCAACATATGCTTTTTAAAAGTGAACCTCAGGATTATTTTCTTCTTCAAAAGATGCTTTTTCTCTCACTTCCTCCCACTAGTTGCTGCATCAGGCATTAACAATATACAAATACGCAACGCACAGTCCAAACTGGGCACTTGTCTGTCACAGCAAAACTTAATACTTACAGAGCACTCTGCTAACGAAAGGATATTTGAAGCAACTCTGAATAATAGAAAACTACCTTCCCCATATGCCTGTTTCAGGCTTGCCACTTACATCTGTTTGAATTTGCTCAAAGGCACGATGGCTCTTCATTTTACAGGTCTGAGTTGTGAACATGCAGCAAAATTCCAGTTTCATATTCACAACAGAAAACAAAGAATCTAAACACCAAATTGGGTCATATTTGTCCTTCTTTACACTTAATTAGATTCCTCTTTTTGGTTAGTTCAACACTCTAGCATAACACAGCAACAGGCAGACAAGCATTTGAAAGATGGCTGGCTTTTGTCTTGGAGTCCACTTTTTTTTTTTAAAAAAACTACTGCCATCATCCAACTAGTTTCCTCCCCTATCTGTTTTATGCAGTATAAAATATAGCAGAAAATATAATTATCAGCTTCCTACAAATGGCTGACATTTTGGTTAGAATAGGGGCAGGGATGGGGGTCAACCAGAGATCTAAATGCGTAACCGGTTAGGATGTTGACACGCTCAGTCTAAAACTGTCGCTTCCCAAACATCTGCTTAGCAACCTAGCTTTCTATAGTAAGAGATTAACTGAGCCAGCCAGGAACTATGCACGAACACAGAGCCCTACAATATTGGCCTGGACATCAGCTTGAACGGGGCAGGCTCAGTATCAGACCACTCTCAACAGCTTTTCTTCCCCTCCAATGTGCATGAAGTCTCTGATCCAGTGAACACCTAATTCTTTTAGTCAAACTGGAAGTTTTATGATACGTTAGCAAATGCATCACTACTCTACAGCCTAGCTGTTCTGGTGTGCTTCACTGGAGAAAAAAATTGATGGTTCAAACTCTATCAAGCAGAGGTCATAAACTAAACAAACCCCTCAGTCTTACACACTGTTAGCCAGTGTTCCCACCTCTAGATTAGAGCAGCATTTAGTCAGCTCACAACCCTTCTCCTTCTGATATTGCTCCAGTTTCGAAAGATAGTAGCAATATTCAGGAAACGACTGCAGGATAAGAAACATTGCAAGAAAGCACCTCCAGACATAGATAAGGCAAGATGCTTAGGACCAAAGAAGGGTGGAATCTAAGACAGAGCCTTGCCATCTGCACTCCCTCTTTACCTGTAAAGGCAGCTCCATGACCAACGTACTTACTTTACACTTGGCATGAGTGTTTTTGTGGTTCTTTATAAGCACTGAATGTATCTACTACACGATGCAAAGCCCTTGTACATCATTTTGGATTCCGATAATCGAACTTAACATAAAATTTTAGGAAGTGTGATACTCACTGTAGTGCTGTGAAGTCTGTCTTGGATTAGAGTTTCTTCTATCACAGCCTCCAGAAAAACTAGACGTGGTTGCTACAGGCATGCTAGTAGATGACATGATCTGAAGTGACTGGCACTTCATAGCCTCAAAGACCCCCCTGCACCTTACAAAGGAACTTAGCACAAAAAATATTGCAAGGAATAAGAAGTTATGCTGGTGAATGTGTTCATGGGAAAACAATATCAAAGTGAAAAGACATCTTCTGATTAAAGTCTCTCTCATTACTGGACCATCTTGTACACAGGGTCTCCAACTTGAATTGTTCCAGTTTTGTCAACGGCAAAGTATCTTCCAAAGAGAGGGCTGGATTTGTGTATGTGTCGCTCAGACGGATCACATAAGCGGTAACTGCAGAGAGAGCGCACTTCTTTAGAATCAGTGGTAGCAAATTCTAAACATCAAAATATCAGTGATGAGAGAGAGGACATATGAATAGTGATGACCTGTTTTGGTCACCATACTTGACCAAAAACTAAATAAATAACTACAATTAAGAGAAACAAGCAGTTCAAATGGAGAAAAAAAAGCCTGATTGTATTCACACATCCACATATAATACACATACAAAAGACTTTATAAAAAGAAATGCCAAAGTTGCAAAGTTAGACCTTTAAATACCTTAAATACCTGTTACCCCAAGCATTCACCCTAGCAGAGATGAAAGGGACAGGGAATGTAAAGTTTTCAAGAAAGAAGAGAGAACTTCCTGAATTTTCTTGCCGTACAGAATTGCAGAAAGTAGAATGGAAGCCAATACACACAGACCTTTATACTACATTATTATGTCCCACACATGCTTCAAACCACTTTTAAAATACTAGTCTAACATCTGTTGGGATCTAGCCTAAATCCACTCCCACAGCCTAAGAAGCACTGGTATTTTTACAACCTTTTCAACGTTTCCAGGGGCTCCTTCCTGTCCAGGACCCCAGTGTCTGGGTTAACAGTTGTTAAAATACACCTGCAATGACAGACAGCACCAAATCAGTAACGGCTTCTTATCATAAATCTCTATACAACTATATAAAATAATGGTCTCAAATGTTTACCTGGCACAACACACTGTCCCTTTCATCTCCACATCGCCAATAAGAATCTCCTCCCAGGTGTCCTGAGGGAAGGTAAATGTTATGCACAGATTAGACATATCCACATGCAACCATTTTTCCAGGAGCGGCACAGTCATTCCTAGAAGAAGCACTACCGTTCCAGATGATCACCTTTACTTGCACCTTCAAAACAACTGAATTATATTATGGTACTATTTTAATGAAAACCCTACGGTCACTGCATTCATCCAATTCAGGACCCACTAGTAATTATATCTGGAAAGAAAGATACACGAGTAATAAATCCCGTTCTGCAGCATGCACTTGTCTGAACCTAAAGCAAGCTTATTCTTACTGTATGTGTGATAATCTGATCTGTGACCTCTGGTAAGTTACCATTTTTGCAAAAAGGAAATTTTTAGTGGAAGTAAGTTTTCACTTCTTGTCTACACAAGCTTCCTATTACAATCCTTCTTGGAAGACAAAAACCCATTCCCATTTTAGGAACTTCTTAGATTTGGGAAATTATCAGATCTACCCAAAGCAAATTCTTTGGAAAAATGGCAACATGACATAAAAACACTTAAAAGCCACCATCACCAGTTCACTTCATCACCAGATACCTTCCTAGATAGTGTTTTTTGAGCTACCAGAATATTGTCAGAGATGCAGTGATAGACTGCAGTATTGCAAGGGTCAGTTTTACTCTTGTGCCAAAAGCTATAAAACATCACACTGTCGATTTACAAATTGTTCATTTGTACCATTAATTGATCAATTACAGCATGCATAGCTTTCCCCACTTTACACTTAAAGATGAGCTTTCAGTAGCAAGCCTGTCATTTAAATACACTTATTTCATCCTTTACTAAGCTAAATAAGCATTCACAGACCTGTCTCCTCCCTCAATGTTTCACATGCGCTGATGTAAGCAGAAGATGTATCTTTCCGGAATCCAGCTGTAAAAATCACAGAGCAGCAGCTTTCCTCATCCTTGCAGGTACCATCACACAAGGAAATTGAGTTACAAAGAAACATAACCAAGCCTTCAAAAAGAAGATGATATTTTACCTCCTCAAAAGCACTGCAATCTGTCACAAGAATATTTGGCCTGAAGTTCTGTATCTTAACTTTCTTCTCCAGCCTGGCATTTAGATCTTCCAGTGAAGCTTCTGAGAGCATCAAGACTGGGCTACAGTCAGGATAGGCAATCTACACAAACAAACACAAACAAATCCTAAGGCTGCTGTAAGAGTACAGGAGCAAAGTTACTGAATGGCAAAAGGACAGATATGTTGGAACCAGTGGCCACATATTAGCCTGACTGTTAGGCTGCTGCATTCAGGTTTTAATTTTCCTGGAAGTAGGTTAACAAGTAAAATAACATGCCCTTCCCTATCTCAGTAACCATGGCAAATTTCATTTGCTCAAATTGTAAAATTAAACTTCTGTTTATAGAATTAAACCAAAATTATATAAGCTACCACAACTTCTTACAAAATAATACTGTATGCCTGTCCCAGATATTTATTCTAGGTGTTACAGATGGAACTAAGTATATTGGTAAAACATGTTAAGTTCTGAAAAGTACTTAAGATGTTTACGGACCTCCTGAACTTATCTGGCGGACTATAATCAACCAACTGGATTTTTCTATATAATGAATCTATCTTATCACAACACCCGAGGGAGTTTGACATACAGAATAGCAATTCTAAAATGCAACTGTCCATTCATCACTCTGTTTGCTTGGAAGTGGGAGGGCTGCCATTTTAGCAAACAAGGCCAATGAACACTATTAAAAGAAAACTCCTATATATGCTAGTCCCACAGGAAAAAAAAAAAAAAAAAAGAGTAATTTTCGCAAGAATTTTAGTGTATAGCCCTCCTCCTGTCCTTCTCTTATACTATCCTGTCCCCCCTCCTTTACACGCCTTTACAACCACAAGAAGATGAGTGTTGAAATAACTATACAAACAATTCTGCTGTCTTTTCATGCTAGGATTCCTGAATGTCACCCCTCCTAATCTGACATCCCTTTTGCTGAAACCTAGTCTTCTGCATTGGTCTCAGTGCTCTTACGTAATAAATGCATATCTATAAAAGTCCGTCATTGAATATAACTTCTTCTCTTTGTGCAACAACAAGCAAAACCCTTATAGATAATATCATCACATCATTAAGGCAAGATACTCACAATTTCATTTGCTTAAAAAGCTTACACTCATCAGGTACAGTTCAAACCATCTTCACGTGAGAGAGTGGTTCAGACAAAAAGAAGGGCATCAGTGACTCCAATGATACGAGTATGTCTGAGCACAGCATCTCCTTTCCCCACCTGCATTAACTTTCTCTAATATCACACCTTCAAGCCTCTTCCCACAGAAAGCGAGAGAAATGAAACCTCTGTAACCTTCTTTGGATTTTCATTCCTAGGCCCACAACTATAGAGCCCTGGGTTAAGCATCGTTCCTTTAAACAAAGTACGAGGTAACACAACTCGTATCAGTACACTCCTAAACCTAACAAGGGATAGGGAACGGAGGTTTTCTATTCAACACAGATTACACCACCAAAACATCTTTAAAAACGTAACTTTTTTCTATTCACTGAGGCACAAAAGGTATGCTATTCTGCAATGTAACAGTTCATCTTCAAATATCAGTATCGGACTCTTTAGCTGTGAATGGTCAATAGCTTAGAACAGATTTAAAGTAAAATTTAAGCAAGTCGTCTCATCATAGAAAAGGAGAATATTCATGTGGTTTAAGTACATGACTACACACCTTGCTAAACTGGGCTCAATCACCAATGACGGAATGGGCAGGTTTCGGTGGGTGGGTGGGAAACGGTTAAAAGAAAGTACTTCTGAGAAAAAGAACATTCATTTACCTCATCTGTGGTTCGGAAAAGGTTTATTATGTCCTTTGGCCTTCTTGGCACCATGGAGGGCTCAAAGTGCACCAGACGATATGGCTCTGAATTCAGGAAAGTGGTGATCCACTGAGCCACTTCATCTCCACAGTCCCTGCCTTGGATATCCAGTCCGAACACCCTGAAGGATCACAAGACACATCAGCAAGTTATCTGGAAAGCCGACGGCTCAAGCATGCTTATTATTCAAAGGCAAATACCTTGTTTTAAAGTAGTAGCGAGATACAGTAAACAAATTGCCTGAATTATAACGAGGTGGAAGTTGGTTTCTGAATTTGGCATACGGATCATTCCCAGTGCGCAATCCCCTTATGGTCACCTTGTTTTGGAAGCTAAGTAATGTGGATGATACCAGCTGGTGAAAGAATGAGCCATGAAATAGCCCAGAGCTAACTGTCACATCAATGACCAGTAACAAACCTACCTGTTTGCCATACTTTCAAGCAAAAGAAGGGTCTACTCTTGCATTTGCATGTGACTGCAACACCAAAAGATTTGCCCAGTAATCAACTGAAAGGTAATTAATTTCAGAAAATGGGCGATAGTTTGAAAGGATGTTGTTAGTTATTGTAATTGACATTTACAAATGTTATTAATTGTAAACATCCCTGATTGCTAAGGAAGCTTTCTTTCAGATTTTAGTGCTGTAGAAGTTCAGCCAGAGCTCAGTGAAACTCTTAAGCTCAAGCTTAAGATACTGAGCTATTCTATATGCTAAGAGAGGTTAAAAATTTATAAAGGAAGCAAAGTCCATGGGGCATAAAAAGCCACTGGCAGCAGAATACAAACAAGTTTACACAAGGAACACTTTCCTGGCAAGAAAAAGTAAACCTCAACTCAATCTTCCAATAAACTTCAACACCAGTCATGAATAGTTTTACCACTGTCTTCAAAGTAGCAATTTTGACCCAAATGCACTGCAGTTTCCTCTACTTCTGCAATCATACCTGGGACAGCTTAAAGCATAGAGATGCCCAGGCAGTTCATCTAGCCTGAGCCCGGCTCCTAGGACCCTCCTTTACTCATCTGGGGGAGAGATGAATCATCAGGGTGCTGTCAGCAATATTCCTGTTCTGTTTGCTGGGATCTGTGGCACAGGTTGGGACTAAATGCCATTGCTCCATACAGCATTCAACTGCCTTTCTCTTTCGCTCCATTCTCTCAGTCCCTGTGTGCCTTTTGGCTGGCATAACAGAGGTGAGGGTCTCACAGCTTCCAACACTACTATTTTTCACCCATGAAGCAGATCTATCCTAAGCACTCGGTGGTATAGGGATCCACGGGAATATATCATGCATTTTAAGTATCTCAACACATATAGACAAAGGGCACAAATGAAGAACACAGAGGCTTCTTAACCAGAGGGCTGTAAAAACCCTTTAGCGTATTATTTGCACGAATAGAAACTGTGCCTACACAATGGCTTCAGTCCTACATTTGGCTCCCCAAAACATAGGATTTTTAAATATCCAAGTAAAATCTGCAACTGGACTTACCAGTTTTAAAGATTAGCATCTGCACAGCCTTTTGCAGCCAGACACACTATTGCACTGCCTTAGCTCCAAACTACCGGGCACGAGCCAGCACGGATCTGAAGGCATCGTGCTCGCCCAGTGGCACAATAAATACAAGTCTGTGCAGAGGGCCCTGCTGGCAGAGCGTACCGTGCGGTATGACAGCTACTCCCACGCACAAGTGAGAAGGGAAGAATCTTGGAGCAAAAGCCAAATCTTCATTTGCCCGAATATAGTACTATTCCCAAACCTCATTCTTATGAATGGCTGAATGGATCAGAAAGAAACAGCCTTGAGCTGACAAATGGCAAATTGTTTAAGCACAGCAGAGCCATATAAAACCTCAGGGTTCTTCTTGAGAAGTACAAGGCAACGTTTAACTATGGGTGTTGCTAATTTCACATCCTATGACACCACCTACAACACCAGGCAACTTGGGTAATTTTTAAAGTCCATTTACATGCATCTAACTTTTGCTTATTTGCATTCCCAAATTCTAGCAATTTTAAAGCCAGAGAGCGCAATAGTTTATTAAGGCAAAAAAAGAAAAAAATCAAGAGAAGCACAAATCACTGAGATCTAAGATTGGAAAATCCAAGATAATTTTTCATTACTGAAAAGTATTTCATCTGTTTAAATATTATTCTAATGGCACAACAAATTTTAGAAAAATAACATCTTGAAAACTGCATGGTTTTGTAGCGTATGTGTCATTGGCTAACATATACACATTATAGACAGATTTTTAAAAGACTGTCCTATTCTTCCATGAGAAATGCTATCATTTTTAACTTGCACCTGCCTTGTATAAACAGAGATACTGAGCTATGCTGATCAAGGGTTTCCACAGCAACAGATTTATGCTAAAAGCTAGCAAATGCAGTTCCTTTCCAGCACTCTTTTAGTTTTAATTATAGCAGCTGGTATATTTATTATTTTAATTATAGCAGCTGGTAACCTTCTCTGCTATCCAAAGGAAAAACATGTATCAGCATTTCTGTAGGGGCTAACACCACTTGGAGTTACTAAATAGTCTTACATATTAATTGACATTTTAGCAGAGAAAAGGTTTTCTGCTTCTCCCTGGCAATTTTCCAGCATGGATTTCAATACATGGATAAACTAACTAGGCCTGCATTCGTACAACAAAACTCTAGGCAAGCAGCTAAATGACTATGTTTGTAACCTGTTCACCTGAAACCCCTTTGAGGTAGCACCTATGGGGAATGACTTGCTCTCCGGGGATGCCCGTCTTTCCCCTGTGAAAGTGAGCGTCAGGCAACCAAGTTTTTAATTTAGGCACCTCAATTAAATGCCTACAGACAGGGGTGAGGGAATCTAAACTCTAACATCTCACCAATTCCAAATGGCCATTGTGTATCCAAAAATGTTGATGCATATACTAGTAGTGAGCAAGAAATACCAATATGCCTGACCAAGGCTCTGAGATGCAATTGCTCACTCAAGCAAAAATGAAAACAGTGGAAGTAAACACAAATGAGTAAACATGACAGTCTGCGAAGACTGAAGATCACAGTTCATTTGGCAGATGTATAATGTATGGTTTTTGAACATTGTGTCATCTTCTCCTGAGGTTTGTTTCAACCAGTGTTTAGCCAATTAAAACTAGACCTTTTGTTATGACAATCAATCCTGGTCTCCCGTATAAAACACAGCAAAGAATTTCACGGGATCACAGAATGGTTTGGGTTGGAAGGGACCTTCAAAGATCATCTAGTCCAACCCCACTGCCATGGTCAGAGACTTCTTTCACTAGATCAGGTTGTTCAAAGCCCTGTCCAACCTGGCCTTCAACACTTCCAATGATGGGGCATCCACAATTTCTCTGGGTAACCCATTCCAGCGTCTCACCACCCTCATCATAAAAATTTCTTCCGTATGTCTAATCTAAATCTACCCTCTTTTAGTTTAAAACCATTGCTCCTTGTCCTGTCACTACAGACCCTGGTCTGAAGTCTCTCTCCATTATGCAGATGGGGAGACAGACCCCCACAGAAAAGAAGCAGAGACACCCCAACTTTCACCCTCCAATATAAGAAAACACAGTCTTGAAAAGCAAAGCATGTAAGTGAGAGATGGTATTTAAACAGAAGGGAGGGAAAACCCTCCTTCTTCAGTACCTGCAGTTCTGCACGGGGTTTTTCCTGGGAAGCTTTATAGGCAAGCACAGCTGCTTCATTTCTGGGGCATCCAAGGTCAAGTGCCCATTTTCACAGCTGACAGAAATGAGGACCAGCCGTGGCTCCTGGCGTGCTGTAACCATGTGCCCATCTTCCTTGGTCACAAGCCAAAACCTGTAGTGCCACGGGGTACAGAAACGCGTTCAACAACATTAAAGGCCGACGCCGGGTACCGGGTATTCCCGCAGCCCTGCGGCGTGCCGGGCACGGCCGCACCAGCCCTACAGGTGCCTCTTCAAAGGCGTTGAAGAAAAACATC